CTTAACGCACCGGATTACTGCTTCAAGATGGAGAGCACGAGTTTTGGTAAAATCGCTGCACGACAGCAGAGAAGAGAACCTAGTAAAAAAAAAACGCCAAATGAATAAAACACGTGTCCATACTTTTAAAGTTCAATAAAGCGAGAATAGCTGTAAATATCGATCTTTTTTCTGCGATTTTTATTTTCAATAAAACATTACCTGTGTTATCATTTGTAACGACTATTGCCGAAATGTGGACACTGAAAGCATAGCATATATCCTCTATACCGACGTTGTACATTAAATCACTTGCAAGTGAAAAAAAGCTTCGACAAGGCGTCGTGTATTGAAATCAAATTGTGTCAAGCGAACCTTGGAAATTATGTTAAAAGTTAACAATTTACTGGAACCCTTGGGCGCAATGTCGAATACGTTGTCATCGTGAGCGTCTGAGACTCTCTCTCTGAAGGCCTTTCACAGACACTTTTCATACAATCAATACATGTTGACACAGAGATTCTAAAATTAAAGCTTTGACATTAGTCTCACGCTGCGTTCCTGTTTAAATGACTTTCTCCTTATTAAAAGATGCTCCGGGATTAACAGGGAGTCTATATATTTTATGCATGTGATCAGCATTCTGGGTATACCACACAGGGTTTACCATTAAATTGCACTTGTTGTTAAGAGCACTATATGGCTATTCAATCAATATACCAGGTAAAGTTTTTATTTTAGTTTATTGATCCGCAACGTATGAGTATATATATATGTAATGTCACTTTACCAATAAAGCGATGTATTTAATTATCACTATGAGCACTACGGTAAATTACGGTGGGGCATTGTTAATATGTACATGTTTTATGTGTTCATTCACAGACCTTATAACAAGACTTTCAGCTATGTTACGATCAGTACTGACTCAATTAAGGTAGAAGCCTAGTCATAATTTTTGACATAATTGGTCAAAAATCGCATGACAATGTTCATTAGTTTATTATGTAAAATCATGAAGCTAATGTCCATGGTACAATGAAATAGCATTATTTTGTGTGTTACAGTTAAGCGTTTTGAGAAACGTGTCCTAATATTCTTGAAAAGTGCTATTTTCAGAACAATTACATAGAACACAATGTTAAAGAAAAATTATATTTTTTACAAAAGTACAAAAAGTACTCCATAATTAACATGATATGATTTTTTCAGCCTATGTCACCAGGCTAGATTTTGAGATATTGCATAATATCTCTGCACTTTAATTCACCACGGAGCGTATATTCCTAAGACTTTCAAGTAGGTGAGAACAATGTGTGGCCAAAGCTTTTTATTTGCCCATATGTGGAGAGCACCACAAGCTCGCTGTGTTCAATTTCGCTATGTTCAAATTTTGAAATATGATAATTTAAAATTTGCAATGTCGAAAACGGAATGTCTTATCGCATTGTTACTCGCATTGAATTATTTTATGAGATACGAAACATTCACTGGATTTGGCTAAAAAAAAATATGGGGGAGAAAAGACCGTGAAAAAACTGCTTTTGACAAGATAATTCAGAAATTTATATCAAGTATAGTTCATAACGAAATGTATTTCCTATGCACCCATAGATAATTTTCATAATTACCGATTACACAAGAATATTACAGAAAAACGATAATTTGCTATATTCTCTATATTTGTCTTACATTCTGACTTAAAGATGCTGAATAAAATTACAAACTATGTAGTGCGTTCAACAACTGATGAACAAACAATAACTTTAATAAATATGATTTTCCTTGATAAAAATACTGTATTTTCCTGCATAAAAACGAAAGAATTTCACGATGTCGACAACGGAGACACTTTATCCGAGTGATTGTTTAAAAAAAAAAGGTAAAGGGGTCAGTTGCCGAATCATTCTTTGCGCTGAGCATATGCGTATACTATTGTTTCTACTGTACCATTTATCTTGAAGGTTTTGTCATTATACGTGGTTTAATTGAACGCATCTATATCAATTATTTTGACACAAATTCAATTCAAAATCACAAAAAGCATGAATGCTCACGAGATGCCTCGTGGGAATGTCGAACATAGAAACTTATGATATACACGCCATTTTCTTGTTGACTGAGAATAACCTCTTTATCGTACATACAACAGCTTATATAAAGCGTTGAATTTAAAATAATTATTAGACTCTCGACTGGAAAGTTGTGATTATTTGATTGATATAAAATGCGCTCATGACATGGAAATTGCTGTCATTGTAAATACGTATTACTATTGAATAGCAATTAGGTGTTATTCGAGACAGGCGAATTCAAAATACTAAATATTATTCATGCATAATGAATGAGTAGTTGAATATTCAAATTATTCATTAATGCGACACTATTTTATCTAAGACAAAAATACCTGAATACAAATGGTATGTACTCAATTCACACGGCGTTTCCTGTTGTACGGCGCGAAAGCCATTACACTTTTTTTTAAACATTAAAAAACGAACTTTTATTTACATTATCATAATTAAAAAAAATCAAATAATTTAATGTAAATATATAAAAAAAAAATCGCTTCTTGAAGTTTTTATTTCAAAAGATAAACGCAATCAGTCGGTGTTCAGTCAGAAATAACGTAAAAGCGTATACGCCTTCTCTCGCTCAGACTTATTTTTCCATTAAGAACACTGCTGTAACGTGTAACATTTTTCCTCTTATAACAATAGAAATCGGTGCCGAACACACTAACATGTATGATAATTGTTTATACGTCGATACTTTAAACATCCTAGTAATCTGATTGGTTCATGAAAGCAGCTGTGGTCCTCATAACTAGGTGTATATGTAGAGGGGGTGCGCTTGCCGTGTATTTCAGTATGTATTGCTAACTATCGAGTTAATTTGTGTATACACATCTTAACTAAAGATAACAGCTCGAAATTACAGCAAAGTGCACATAAGCCATGTCATCTTTGGCTTAAATTATGTCATCAATGCTTTGAATAGTCTTTTTATCACTCATTTACGTCATAGAAGGAGACCATTATAGATCACTTGTGTCAAATAATAAAACAACTTGTGTAGCCTCTAAATATCAACAATCAATAACCTTAAGCAACTTTTGTACGGCCACGTTTTCGAATCTTGTGGAGTGTTTTTTTAGGTTCTTTTCTGTTCTGTCTTGGAGCGATTTCATCAAAACCCCAGCTCTCTATCTTGGAGCAGTAACTCGGTGCGTTGCTTTTCAAAAGTGTTCTATTTCTGCGATTTCCATAGTCAATAACATATCTACCTTCATCAAAACACTCCACACCCACCTTCTGTAACATATCTCGAAATGTTGCCAAGTCTTGGTAAAAACTGTCACCGTATGCCCTAACCTTTTGCCAGAATGTTTTGTTGAAGTGTTGACACAGTTTATAATCAGCGCTGTTTATTTCCAATATTCGTTGTCGTTTCCAATCATTAATTTCCCATCTTAGTCCGTCGTTTCTCGTATTCTGCTGTATATATAAAATGTCTTCAAATTCCCAGCATAAACGCTGCTTCAACAAAATTAGAGATTCATCAAAATACTCAGCAATCATCACCAAATCAAAATCCTTTGCTGCTTGTTGTATCACG